CCCCCACCCTTATTCTCGATGCTACAGCAGTCCATGGAGGGCATGCATTCAGGGGGGCAGTGGGGGGACATTCCCCCCCATGTGTAGCACATTCGGGGGGGGGGGGTGATTTTTAGAATTTCTTTGGGAATGCAATAAAAAGTGTGGATTCATTCGCAGTAGCCTTGGCATTTTCAGTGGAATCCACTTCCCCCTTTTGAAAAACACAGTTTGCATGTCTAATTACAACTTTTGTATGCTTCACATGATAATTTTTGCTATTCTGTGGTCTCCCGAATATAACTCATGTTCTCGAGAAAGCAAATTTGGCTACGTTGAGATAAAGGAAGATTTACTCGTAATCTCAGCCTAACAAGACGTTGTGATAGAGGTAGTGAAGGATGTCTTTTATGGAATTCCGTACATTGCAGAGTTGCAGTGATCCACAAAATGATCCGATCCGTGATTCACGACTGTGATCCGATCTGAAGCGTGAGTTTTGTGGTCCGTGGCGCCCCCCCGTATCACCTGGAGAAGCATTCAGGCTGGGAGTTGGGACCCCGGGTCTGATTGATATGCATAGCAGTAGCTCACTGAAGGTCTTCAAGGGTCAGGCAGGATATGCTGTTAGTTCTTCATCTGAAGCATCATTCTGTTTTTGAGGCGTGGTCTGGTATTGAAATCTGGTCTTTTCTGCTCACGTTCTGGTCCACTGGGTCAAATGGTCTTAGACACCATTCAACGGCATTCCTGGTGTGTCCCAGAGGTCTAGCTCCCAAACTGAAGCGAGTCTTTGCTTTTCAGGATGTTCCTGTAGACTGGAGCGGAGTCCTGCTTGTGTCCTTGCCCCGTGAAGATGACCTGTCTGATGGTACCAGAACCCCAGCCTCTTCTCCATCCAAACCTGCACCAAAGTTTGCTGTCAAACTCGCCCTCTGCTCCCTGCTCTTCCTGCACGTCGGTGAACGTCACATAGTCAGATTTTTTCCACTGGAAGACGAAGACATTTTTCTGGATCTTTTTGTTTTTGCGAGGGTCTAGACAGTTTGTCGCAGTCCCTACCCATGGCCCTGTTTGACTAATTTTCTGAGTCTAGATGAAAAACTGTCTAGCTAGTTCATTTGTAAATATTTCTACAGATTTGTGATATATTTTTATACTGTGAGATTGCGCTCTCTGCGGAGCCAAACTGAATGTGATTGTATATAATCTGCCTTATTTCCGGAGAGTTTCATTGCAGCTGCGTCATCCGGAACAACGACGTGCATCTCACCTCTGTCTGACTCATCGCTGTAGCCCACTGCTGTCGATTCCGCCCAAGCTGGTGACACCGGTCCCGTGCAGGGCTCTTGCGTGTCACCTCGCACGGCAGCGTAACCCCATCTCCTGCTGTGATGTGTCAGAGCGCCGGATGACGATATTAATAAATGATCTTTACTGGAATGGGGCATTTTGGAGTTTTTCTTTCTGTGTAAAATGTGATTGGAGGGGTGGTGGAGGAGGCGGGGCTGGCTTCAAGGCCGGCCTTTGACGTCAGAGTAGCGGGGGTGTGACCAATTAGGAAATACCCCACCCCTCTTCATCTGACAATGGATGGTGCCACGTAGGATGATTTTGTGTGTTTGTTTGTTTGTCTTTATATTATGTAAATATATGATTAAAAACCTGTTATTTGACATTTTATAAACATCTGTGATTGCAATCAAAAAACTAACAATGCAAAGTCATGTATTTTGTTTGGAAGTGAATGGATGGTCCCCACAAATATTTATATAAACATGTGTCTGCATGTATTGGGGGGGGGGATTAAGTTCCCGGCATCCCTGTTATTCTTTGATTGGTGCTCTTAAATGGGACGCTGACTTCTCCCACATCGGCCAGTGGGTGTGAGTTTGCGTGGTGATTAACACCTGAAGCTGACCGGTCCATGTGAAGACCTCTGGTTCTGGCCCATTATAGACATTTTATGGTCAATGACCATAGTACTCTATGGGCTGGAACCCCAGCAAAAAGAATGGTGAGAGGAAGGCTGCGAGAGTGCCCCCTGCTGGCCAAGTTTTGGCAATGGTGAGATGAAGGTTGCAAGAGTGCCCTCTACTGGCCAGATTTTGGTGGTGATAAGAAAGCTGTGAGAGCGCCCCCTGCTGGCCAGGGTCTTCCCACTGGTAGAGGTTTGCTGATTTAACATTTTGTTTTTCTTGGCCAATCTCCAGCCCTTCTGAACATGGCTAGACTCCTGTCCAAAGGAGATCACCTCTCTCTGCACAGCAGGTCAGCTGGTGTTTCAGTCTGCGCTGTTTTGTTGGTCTTTGTCGAAGCCTCACTCTCGATTGGGATGAGTGGACAAAAAAAGTAGTTATTCTATTCTGAGTACTTTTCATACTATTCATTATTTTGCGGCTCTGAAGGGAGAGAGTAAGGCGTCGACCTGAGG